AGAACTCAGCACTGGTAGAAAACAGCTACAAAGACACAGAACACAAAGAAACTAAACTCAAGCAGAGGGCAGAATCTGAAAATTAATACATTTCATTTACCTTGCACAATAATATGAAATTTAATTGCGGAGGGTGGGGGAAGACATTTATGTTTAAGGATTTAGAGAGAAACCAGTTATGAACTGAGTATAAAATGTTTTTGTTTTACAATAAAGAAAAGCATATAAATAGGCTAGAAGGATGAATGACATTTAAAAGTTTTGAAATTAATCTTTTTATATTTAGGCAGAAAATCAAATTTAAGATATTTGGTTCTCCATGCACAAATAACATTTTTAGAGTATTCTTTTTAAAGGAAAAGTCTTTAAATTGGATTAGGATATATAAGATATCTGTTGACACATTTTCTTAAAAATATGTTTTTGCATTTTTTGTTTAATATATTGATTCCTTCATTTTTAAGTTTAGGAACTGGAGTATTGCTGAGGCAACCCTGAACTAAATTGATCAATGTTTTTGGAATATATTTATAATTTGTCGATATTCCTGGGATGAGAATTAGGCATTATATTTCTTATTTAAATTATCCAGTGACAATAACTCTCAATCACTTCTTCTCACTGCTCTCCTGGGTGTTAATGACATTTTCGAGGAGCTTCAACAGCAGTACTGTGTCAGATTTATAGTCCCCAACACTGCAGATGTAATAGAATCTGTCCTTAAATGATAGGCAGACCCATTTACACAGGGACAGATAAATAACCCTTTATAAAAAAAAAAAGGTTCATTAATTTTAGACGGAACCATTCACATACATGTATTATATTAAACTGTTTAGCGCCTTTTCGCTCTGAGCATGGGGCAGCCAGTTTGCTTGGACTCACGGGATATCCAAGGCTACCTATAGGGTACACCAGACCCGTCCTTCAAAATGGGCAAAAAGAAGGAAGCATTTGTTGGCCGCATAACGAGGAGTCATGAAATTCGAACAAACCTCAGCGCCACGATATGACATAATCAGCCTATGAATCTGGCCCTAAGAGGACGCAGCCTCTGAATTCGAACTCAGCAAATATGTTAATCCACCACACTCACTGCGTCCAGGCTCAATAAATGTGTTTTGTCAAAATGTTTTGTCAAACTTTTAAAATGGTCTCAGGTAAATGTAATATTGTTTTGTACCTTCCTGCAGCCGTATTTTAGGCCCAATCTTTACCTATCTAATTTAAGAATGTGCTTTGTTTCTTTTTATCAATCTCAATTTTCTGAGAAAGTGAACATTGGTTTAAGTTGCTGCAAGCCATGATCATCTAAAGGAACATAAATACACGAGATAGGAAACTGGAACTTAATTTCACTTTTTAATAATATTTCCACTGTAAAGTTTCTAGCAGTATAGTTATTATTGCCCATGTTTGACCATCCTGTTTATTTCTTATCAAATCCTGTCTGTAAGGGGGAAAAAAAAATTTCAAGTATAAATTCCCAAATGCTCAAAATCGATCTGAATCAGACTATAAGCTCAGGAATCACCTCTTAGAAACCATCCCCCACTAAGTTGCATTCTAATACCCTCATTAACATCTCTAATATGATTGATTTACATATCAAGCAGGAATATGAGCCTCAGCTGTAATCCCCGACTGTCTGCTACTAAGCAGAGCAAATGTCTGATACATAAAAAAAACTATGAATTTTATGCAAGTATACAAACATGTAATGTAGGAATAGCATGAAGTTAAAAAATATTTAACATACCATAGGATTAAAAAAGAACAGCCTCATGGAGCGTCTCTTTCAAGCCTCTGTAGGATTTAGGTAGATGATTTCTGAAGCATGTGACATACCTCAATTGCCCAATATTTGTTTAACTTGTAGCAGAAATTATCAGAGGTTTTGACTGTTGACTTGTGGAATGTTTCCCTTTTTCTAGAAGCCAAACTATAATGGTCATCTTGCTCAAAAACAAAATCAGGATAATTCAACATTTCAGTGCAAACATTTTTTTTTTATCTAATTGTGATTCTTGGCTACAAGCTATTATGGGCTCTATGCACAACTTCACTACTTCCTGAAGGCAGTTCTTTTCTTTCCTGTCTTTTTTTACTGAATGAGGTGTACCTGACCTCAGTAACCATGGTCAGACACACTAAGATTAATCACTTAATCCAGTACTGAAAGACCGGTAACAAAAGAGCTGCCTTAAATCCAGTAAGAGGTAAAGTGGTGCATAGAGCCCATTTCATCTTGTATTTACAATTCTTGTCTTGGAAAAGCCAATGATTTTGTATGAAATCATTTAAGAAAGGCTAAACTTACAAAGTTTAATTATCGTAGGCATGCTCTACTCCATAAGTCTAAGAACATACATTCATACTGAAATAGTTTTGTTTGGAGCCACCCTAATATTTTGATAAATAAAAGTCTCAAGTTGCAGAGATACTACATATATTTTATAGCAATCAACAAGGTCCAAGCTTAATTCTATCTGGATATGTTGCCATATAAAATAAATACATTGTCCTTTGGAACATGAAATTGTTTCCAAGTTTAATCCATCTAATCCTGACTGGTTAAAGTATTCATGAACCACCATAGTGTGACTGTCCAAAATGAAGGCAACCGCCCTCCAAGGACTAAGAGCTGAACACCAAATAAGAAACACCTTCTCTAAAATAAAAACCTTTGAGCTTGACCCAACACTGAAACTGCTCACTCAGATAAATCACATGGGTCAGGGGTCGGCATCTTCAGTCCTTCTGAGCTCTGATCTGGAACTTTTAACACTGCGTGAACACACTTGAATTAGATGATTAGAATTCAAATTTTTTATCATTATTTTTTCACAAGTACAAAGCAACTTCACTTTGCATTTAACCGATTCCTTTGGGGAGCAGTGGGCTGCTAACCACTAGGCCACCAATCCCCTACATGGCTGAATTGCCTCCTGAAGTAACATCAGGTACTGCAGAGACATGTTTCTAAGCTATTCATTTGATTCAGGCGTGCATATCGAAAAAGTTGCGAGACCGAAGGTGGAGATTCCCTATAGATACTTATATCAACTTTGGTCAAAATTTCTTGGAATTGTTTCAAAACAGATAAATGTGGCTAACATACATTTCATACGACCCCAACCTCAATGTGTATTCATCAAATCTAAAATTTTCAAATCAAGTGATTGCATTACACCACTTTTATTCTGCCCAATATTTAGACAGGATTGTTAGTGCCTGTGTATTAGTGGCGACTGGTGAATAGAGGGCGCCACCCCACCCAACCAATGACCTTGATTAAAGAAGAAGTCCGGTCATATTCAGAATTCAAACTTCTGAAAGTACTTTAAATATGGAATTATCACAAAGTGTTCAATAAATGGTAAGTGTTTTTAATAAGAGTAATTTTCATTTGAATGTGCTTTACTGGAGGCATCCATGTTTGTCAAAGAACACTACTGCCACCTACTGGTTTGTGACGTCACGGCGCGGTATCGGCTGTTGAGTCATCTTGAAAACATTTTTCTTTGAAATTTTGGGTACATGTGACATGTTTTTTTCTCTGGACAGAAGTTCAATGGCAGATCCTCACTCTTCAAGTTGACAATCCCATGATAAACACATCCATGGTGGATCATGAATCGGAAAGGTGAAAAAAAATGATTTTTTTTTTTTACTCTTACCCGATATATTACAACATCCAACTGCCATGCACTTTGGCATTGTCAGTTTAACTACAGTATAGCACTGGTGAATTTCAATGGTGAAGTCCTCTGGAAATCTTAAATGATTGTTGTTGATTGCAGATGTGTCTAGTAGTTCACATTTATTTAGCTTGTAAAGAGGGGAGAATGGCCTTCGGCTTACCGCACCGTCACTGCCGGGAGATGTCAGGAGTGAGGTGTTACTATATTTCGGCAAAAATGGCCATTCGCAGAGTCAGTGATCACAACGAAAATTGTTGTTTCTATTTTTTTACTGATTAACCCTAAATTCAATAAATCACCGCAAACGTATTAGTTTTAGGTATAGATAAGGATCCATTGATTATTCCTTGCTTACCGGACTTCTCCTTTAAGACATAAAAAACAACAAATTAAAATTGAATTATAAAATTAAAATACTTCGAAATATATTGATATATATATTTTTGGAAGGGCATGATAATGGTGAATTTTCCGCCCTAGGGCGCAAAAATCTTTGCCAATTGACTCTAGTTAAAAGTTGTTCATGCGCAGAAGCTCCTCTGCAATGCAGAAGTATAGGATAGCTCGGGGCGCAGCTCTCGTGCGCCCCCTAGGTGGCAGGAACTTTCATCACAAAATCTGTTGGAAATTACATTTTTTCTAAAATCTAAAGTGATTGAAGTTTTCAACATTCATTAAAAACTGCTGATGAGCATCACATTTATGCCTATGTTGATTGTATCCAAGCCTTAGATTAGAAACGCATCTTCTAAAGGTTCTGAGAGAAATGCTGCAGCAAACACAACTTCTCTACTCTATATCTCACTTTTCCTCTTTCTTACATAACAAATTATACCATCCCCCTCTTAGTGATTCCTTTTACTGGGTTTACATTCAATCAAAACATTTGTGAATAAAAGGGCTCTTACACTAACTGGTTATTTTTCTTAAAGTGTGAACACAAGACAGTGAGTGTATCAATGTTGTTCTCAAGTAGCTCTCAGAATATTCATTGCAAGTTGAAACTGGATCACTGTATGTTTAATTTTGGTAAATAAAATTATTTTAAAATCAACAGAAAAATTATTACATATACATTTAGGAGGTAATATATATTTTAGCTTCAACAAAAAATACACAACATGAGATATATAAGAGCAAGTGATGCTTCTTAGTATAAACAACATTTACAACAGAACCATAACTTGCTAAATCTTCTCACTATGTCCCAACAAACATCCAGCAACACCTTTTCAGTCATGGAATATTTCCATATATAGGCACAGGTTGTATTTATTATGACTTGACACTACTTACTGATAACAATATAAAAATGCTCCTCCTTCGCTTACTTCACCCCAGACGAGAAACTAAAAGTAAAAAGTCACATACAGAACTTGCGAAATAAGAAATCTAAGTACATGTGCATGAGAAGACCAGTCGAACCGTGCCACTTCTTCATAATGCTGTCAGCTAAGCGGGGCGTTCTGCACAAAATAAAACAATAACCGGATAAAAACCCAGTGAGTATGTTTACCTGCTTACAGACTGCTGCCAGGGCAAGACCTTAAAAGAACTGTCCCAACATGACCTATAACAGTGATAACACTGAAGAATCATTAACTCTGAGAGGGCTCGTCCCTTTTTTTCAGCTCTAATTACAGTCAAGTCAGCTCCATTCCCAAAAAGAGAAAGATTAACAGGAACATTTAAATTCAGGAGAAAAACAGTGCTTTACCCAATTTTATACAAAGGGCATCATAATACAAATATTTACAAATACAGTGTTGGATTATTTTTTTTTTTTTTTTTAGATATAGTAAATCATGTAATAAATCATTAGCATACTCTGACCTTTAATCATACAAAATACAATTCACATGAACTCATTCAATATTAGAGCAACGGTGGTTGTTATGAATTTGATCAATAGGAATAAAATCCTGTCCATCCCTTAACTCATTATACTTAGTTTTATGTATTAGATGTAAAACTAAAGCTTTATGAGGCTGATATTCATCTTCCTTAAAATCAACTGTATTCTATTTAAAAATGTTTGAACAAAACAATGTTTCTTGGGGGAAAAAAGACAAATAAAGTGTCATTGCTTAAGTTTTGGGTTTCATAAAAGGAGAGATTATTATACAGTGTTTTGGCTGCAATAAAATGCTTGGCAGGATGTGACTAGAGGTTGCAGAAAAGGTTTTTATTTTTAAATTAAAGTCAATAGATAAAGGTAATAAAACAAACATGCAAGGTCAAATTCCAAGGACTTTGGAAGGAAAATTGATTTAAAGATGCATTTTTGCTTACTTTGCTTGCATCTGGTACTTTGAGCACAGTTCTCCTTCTATGGGAATTCAGACTTGCAGAATATCATAATAAATTATCGTTTTTCGATGGAAACACTGCAGTCAGTAATGAGAAAAATAGCTGAATCAACAGTAACTGCAGCAAAGTCTTTCATAGGCTCAGGTTCTCCTAACTTGCAAAATATGTGCCAAGATCATTCTGTCCCAGTGGAGAAGAAAAATGTGGGAGTAAAAAAGATAACTGTACAAATGCCATGCTGGGTGAAAGACTTTTTTTCACTTGCAGGAATAATGAAGTCTGCCCTTAGGCTCAGTCACTCATTGCATGAGGAACATATGGATCAGCTCCTTCATTAATACTGTGGGGCAAAGTCTCAGGGAAACCTCAGGAGAGATGGTTTACAGAATAGAGCCAAGAACCAGAAGCATCACTTGTTGAGACAACATGCAAACCATTGATCGGCCGAAACCTCTTGAGTTACTGTAATATATATCTGCATCTGGAGCTGTTTACGGCAGTCTGCAACCATGGTACAGATAAGCGGTGTAGCAGCTCCTTCTTTAGTTCTTTAGTTATTGAAGTACTGATCAATGGTTTAGCTCTTCTTAGTCCATCCCCCACTCACGGGGTGGGTTGTCAGACTGAACAGCAGCCTGACAACTCACTTGATTACAAACATGAGAACCACATTTTCATAATGTGGAAGCATGAGGGAGAAAGTCTAGAATACTGTGTTGTAGTTTTAAGGTCTGACTCTTTGTTTTCTGTCTTGTTAAGAGCTGGTGTGAAAATAAAATATATGTAATAAGTAGCGATGCACTGATCCAGTTTTTATTCCCTGTCGAACCTGCAACTGATATCTGAGCTGAGAGTATCAGCTAATATCCGATACCAATCGGATTCAGCTGTTGAATGAATGAACCATATATCTTCCCATGTGAGCTTTTACATAAACATTGTTAAAAAAAAGGGGGGGGGGGAATAACACACATATAAACCTAACTTAAAAAAAAAAGAAATAGCATGTACAGTACACTGGATTGGATCTCCAATATCCGATCCATGCATCTCTAGTAATAAGACACAGCACACACATTGTTAAGAAGATGGAAGAAATACAGAGCTGCTGAATTTTTTACTATTGATTTATGTTTTAAGCCTTCTCTGCTCTGGAATTTGCTTGTAAAATACAGTAAAAAAAACAGCTGCTTTCACATATGACCAAGTCTTGCCCATTAATCTGCATAAGACAAACAGCAAAGATGCTCTGTATTAGCTGTATAGTTCCACAGCTCAGATAGTGGCAGAAATCTACCTCCATTCATAACCGTAAACCCGGAACCAAAGCTTTAATGGAGGGGTTTCAGTCAGAGCATATTCATTTGTTAAACCGGCCTAGTCAAAGTCCAGACATAAATCCTGTTTCTGAGTCCCAGAAAAATGTCCAAATTTAACAGTAACTAAGCCTAAACAAGTTCTCTGAATATGCAAAGCTGGTAGAGACATTCCTAACAAGATCCGTGGTTTTATTTTCACCCCTAGCTGAAATTCGTTCTGCCATTAGGACTCAGGAAGGCTGAACACCAGTGCAACAGATTTTATTATTATTATTTGTTTAAAGAAATTACAATCCTAACCCAACACAAAAGGAAAAACAATATCCAACATTTATATTAGGATTCACAATTTTTTATGTTGGTCGATTATTTAAAAAATCAAGAAGACACATTCCAACTTGTATTTAAAGTGTGATAAAATATTAAAATGAGTGCTGGTTCTAGATACTGTACCTCTCTTTTTACAAAAAAAAAAAAAATCAATGTTGTGTTTTGTATAGTGCACAACATATTGCTGAAGCATTATCCAGAGTCTACCGGCTGCATTTTGTTGTTACTGACTTTGTGTCCCCGAACGTTAATTTTGAATACTGCCAGCATTACAAAGTTCTTTCCACATTCCATGTCTGAGATATCAACAATCTCAGAGATCATTACTCTCTGCAGTACTCAGAAAATCAAAAGCCAGTCAGTTGTGTTAACCATTGACTTCACATGCGGGGCCAAAGGAGTCCTAATTTATAAACAATGTCTAGTGAATTGGTAAAACACCACTGACGCTCCAACATGCATCAGACATCGTTGGCTTGTCAGATGCATGTTGAGTCTGGAACTAAGCTAGATTTGAATAGAATAGAACACAGAAAAGTAGGAAATATGAAGCTTACCCTTCGCTCTCTGGACTCCTGCTGTTTAACAGAAACCCCAAACAAAGCTGCTGTAGGCATCTAATTAAGATGGCAGCATTATCACATGAGAACTTGCTGGCTAATTTAATTTGTTGACTGAATTTAAACCTACCGTGACTGGAGACGATGCAACCAGAATGTAGCTAAAGGAGCCCATCGTTGTGACTTTTAAGTCAATCAATTGATCTGTTAGGATTCTGCAATTTTTATAACATGAACAACACAATGCAAGTTGCTATATGATCACCCATGAGAATTGTGCAAGTCAGTGACTCGCTGCCATAAGCTGAGTTTCATTAGATAAATAGCTTTTTTAAGTATTAACCCATTTGCTATATGATTTCATTGAACTGAGCCTGCCTAAATTCTCTGTGGACTTCTGGAATCCTGGAACAGCCTGTTTCTGTTCTGATTGGAACCCCTGACCGGGCTACGGACTCCTGGATCTCTGAGCCTTCCTGTTCTGATCTGTTTCCCTGACCTGGCTTGGACTGCCTCTTCACTGGGGCTGCTTCATCTGGTTCACTCAGGGCGGTGTCCCCCAAATCTCATTGGCAGTCCATCGGCTGGATCTTACCCAGCTCTAAGGAGTTAGACTGAACTGTTTAACCAAGCAAGTGACTCCCACGGATAATCATCTTCCGTCAGATTATCATGGTCACTTACCTGTGTTTCTCTCTAACCAGAGTTACCCCTGATGGGCGGTGCCCCGCCTCCCCCTGCAGCCGCTGCAGATCTGCAATACCACTTTCTGATTTTATTAAACACTTTGAATTTTCCCACTGTCTGCCTCACCTTGAATATTAGGTCCTACGTTCTAACCTTATTACAGTATACCACAAAAAAAAAAAAAAATTCAATAATGTAGATATGGTGCCATGGCAGGCTTTAAAACCAGACTGAAAGATTTTCAGGATGTAATTTTCATTCATTAATGATTCAAATTGACAACAAACAATCTTCTCAAAAAGTTTTTAAAAATGGTTGCTAAGAATTAGGTCTATAATTAGGCAACAAAGAGTGAACTTGACCAGAGTTATGAAGATGTTGAACTATTGCCTTTTAAATCTAGCAGCACCAGATGGCAAACCGCAGGTTATAATTATAAGATGAAATGCCTAGATAGACCTCTTAACAATTGTAGAGAAATAAAAGCAAGGGCCTCAGTCAGAAGGTTCAAAATCAAGAGTTGTTGTGGTGCCAACGCTCACTATTTGAAAGGATATTCATTCATAACTTCAGAGACACGGAGCGCATCACATTTAGGCTTAAATAAATTTTTACTTCCAAAGATAAAGTCTTTATGAATTGTTTCTATAGTTTGATTTCTCCAACTTACAAAAAGGAAAAATTGATACGAGTGAAACAATAATATCCTACCTGCCCTTTATATGCTGACTTTATGGATACTTGGTAGATCCCAGCCTGGTATCGTCTTAAGACAAATCAGCTGTTTGAGCCAGTTTTTTGTTTTTTTTAAATGCCTCCTTCCATCCAGAGCAGAGTCAGGAGATCCAGGTTTGACCACCTAGGGCTGATCACATTGTCAGACTTCCCAGGTTGTTATAGTGGGTTATCTCGTGGCAAACTGTGCATAAATATTTGAAGAAATATAATCCTTTTGACAAACATTTAAACATTACACATTGAGCAAGAAGTGGGGAGGGGAAAATATCAAGAGTGCCATTCATGAATGTTCGATTGGTGTCAAAGGGCAGGAATCTGTTACTCTGTATTGCTCGGTTAGAGATAAGGTGATTTGGTAGTAATAGTTTAGTATTATGTTATATTCTGTCAGTTTCATTTTGGAACTTTAATCATTTTTGTTCTCTTCAGTCCACGTCGTGTAACATCTAATCCTCCTGGGTTTACATCCTTGCCATTGGTCTTTCTGCATGGAGCTTGCATGCAGTCCTGGCATG